AAGACGGCATCAGTAAAATCAAAGGAAAAATGTACAAATGGAAGCCCCAAAGTTTCAAACACAGGGAGAGAGGAGTTAGAAGGAGATGAAAACAATAGAACAGAGTGTGTCAGATTTGGTGGATACGTGCTCTAGGAGGAGGAAGGAAGGGGACAAGAGCACCAACAACAAACCACAGCACGGTGTGACATGCTTCTTCTCAAGTGGTGTTGGTGCGGTCATCACATGGATTTGCTTAATGTTTTCAAGTCAAAACAACCCTGTGCTCATGGGGTGAGCTCGCTGCTGTGATCAGCTAACCTCAAGCTAACCCATTGCCCTTCTGGAGCTCTGTATCGAATCCTGCATGACCCACTCTGCACTTCGCTCACGATGCAGTGATGGGACACAGGCACAAACCAATCCCTGGTTATCGCTGTTCTTTCAATGACACTCTGAGAAACATTCCTGCCTGCAAAGAAGACGTCAGATACATTCGAGCAAAGGGCTCCTCAGTCATAAAAGTAAAGAGGTGACTGTCTTCACCCAGGGACGGTAAATTTATCAGAAATATCACACACTGCATTTGGAGGAAAAAAAAAAAACTTTGCATCCACATACAGTGTAACCGTAGTGCAGCCCTTCTCAGGGTCCCCTTGCTGGAAAAAGCTTTCAGAAGTGTCATTTGAGAAAATTGAATCAATCTTCCTTTCATTTAGAAACAATTCTTGCTCCACGTAACCACTCATGCTTTCTTTCTCTTCTCTCTACTTTCTTTCTCAACAGAAGAGCAAAGGTTTATGCCTCCTATTTCTAGGGTCCTGCTGCTCCTGTTTATTCACTACCCAAAGCCTTAATTCTCTGTTTTCAACTTCACTTTTGGCCACTGTCGAGATAATTTTGACATAATTGTGTCAGAATTATGACTTAGGGACAGAGATCATAGGGAAGTGGGTGAAATCTTATAATGGGTCCTAAATCACAAAAGAGAACCAGAAGCAGGATAATTTTCAGACCTAATTATCTGTTCTATCTTTACTACATTTAAAAATAAAATTCACAAGCCTACTGCCTCCCCCCATCAGGCTTTTAAAACTCACTTCCAAGGTTCTTATTACAGTCATTAACTTCTGCACAGCTAGAGTTCTGACAAGGAAGGCAAACCCAGGGTCTTTACAACTGTCAGAATAAAAGTTGGTTGAGTTGGGCTGGGTGAAATGTTCGTGTAAATCAGTCCCAGCTTACAACTTTGGCACAGCTCAGAATGAATTTCCCAGAAAACTCTCATCTCTACACTTTCCAAGGTACAGTAGGACAATACGCTGCTGGTCAGTCCAGATCAGAACAAATTCATTCACGGGGGTCAAAGCTGACCGTGAGCCCCTGTCAGTGTGAGAGTCAAAGCAGCCCACAATAAAATTAAACATAAGAAATGAAGCCCGGGAGGCCTCTGTTGACTGTTGGCAAAAGCAGATAGCCTGGAACAGAGCCAGGGCAGTCGGAGGAATCGTGAAAACTTGGCTCTGTCCCAAGTTTCTGTGATTACTTGGGCTGCTTCCACTTTTTCACCCTGGCTTCTGTCCCTCAGGAACCAAGACTTAACTGCTTAAAACCATTCTTCGGGCCAATGTGATGCCAAAAGCTGGGTAATGGAACGATACAGTACGAAAGGTTGGGGACGTATCTTAGCCTAACTATGTACCAATCAGAAAAAAACTCAGTTGCTATTGAAATGACTATAGCAGATACAGCCTGACTGATCTTTTCTTTGTTTTCTTCAGCTTTAATTGAGTTTATTGGTACATTTTAGGGATACAGTACAGTTACATTCATTGTTGGGATCTTGTACCTCTACATGACAAGTCTTGGTTCTCATTTTTTCCCCTTGTCCCTGCCCTCCCTTCACCCCCTCCTCCCCTCCCCATCTACAAACACTTTATTTTCATCTTTTCATTCTCTCACATTTTTTTCTTTTCCCTTTTTACTCTTCTCCTACCCATCCCACCTTCCCTACACCTTTAGCTCCTTTCTTCCCATTTCTAAATGTCGGTAATCTTATTAGAATCTTATGCATTGTTGCAGATTATTCACACCAGGGAAACTATTCGGTATTTACACATGTGTGCCTTATTTATTTCACTTAGGAGTATATCTTCAATATGTATCCATTTTCCTATGAATGAATCTATTCTCTCGCTCTTTATGGCTGAGTAATATTCCATTTTATAGAAAAACCACATCTTCTTTATCCAGTTTCCAATGGATGGGCAAATGGGTTGTTTCCAAGATTTAGCTATTACAAACTGTGCCGCTATAAACATGGGTGCACATACTTCTCTGTGATATGATTCTTTTAGTTCTCTTGGAAAGATACCCAGCAGAGGGATCAGCCTGACCGATCTTAAGTCAACCTCTCGTGGAATCCCCTTTTCAGGTGTGAGTGTCACATGTGATTTGCTCTCTAAGCAATAGAATGGAGCAAGGGCACTAAGGTATCACCCTGTGATTACATCACAATGCATCTAGGGGACTCCATCCTAGTGGACTGGAGGGCAGAACAGTCCTACTGGCTTTCAAGAAGCAAGCTGAACGTGAACTGCCACGGAGAGGACCATGTGGAGAAAGCTAGGTCACCTCTGGGAACCAGGAGCCTCAGTCCTACAACCACAAGGGCTGAATTCTTCCAACACCCTGCTAAGAGGGGAAGAGAACCCTGAGCTAGTTCCAGAAAAGAATGCCGCCATCCGACACAGGGATTGGAGCCTTGTGAGAGAGATGGCAAAGGGCAAGTAGTCTATTGGTCTATTTCAACTGAATAATGCAAAAAAAATAATGCCTGTAGGCCCTTGAAGAATTCTGTACACAGCATTCTGTACATAACATCCATATGTATGATGTACACCATTCACACACAATAGCAAAGCAGACAGGTTTGGATAAGAGAAAGCTGGGAATATGGACTGCCTCCAATTTTTTCTTGAATAAATAAGAAAGGTTGAGCTCTATCAATATATTCATAATAATAATTTTCAGGGTGATACCACCGGGTTGTCAAATCAGTGCCATCTTTCAGCACAGGTACACCTCTCGGGGAAATAAGCTTACATAAAGACACGCATAAGCGTGCCAGGGAGTGGATTCCCACAAGGAGAACACACTCGGTGCCAGCACTCGGTTCAAGAATGGAACACACGTCTCCCAGAAGACACACTCCCGACTCACACCCACTGCCTCTCCCAAAATAAAATGATAATCTTCACTTTACACATCAGAAATCAGCTTTACCTGTTCATAATGCTCGTATAAATGGAATCGCATAATCTGGCTTCTTTCACTGAGCAGCCTGTTCTCTTCATGTCTTCATTTCCTTTGTTGAGCACCATCTGTCCTGGGAATACGCCAAAGCCTTTATCTCTTGATGAAGGGCATCCAATTTTTTAATTTTTTAATTTTTATCAGTGCGAGTTTGCAGCACACAGTGATTGCACTCAGCGTGGGAAGTTGGTACATGCACATAACTCAGTTTAATTCTTTTCCATCCCCTCCCCGCCTCCTCCTCCCTCTTCTTTCTATTTATTGAAATGAACCTCAGGGCTGTCTCCAATTAGGGCCTCGATTTCTACTATTGTAAAAAGGAATGAAACTCTACCAGCGCCATGATAAATCTTGACTCTACTGTGTGCCAGGAGTGTGGCAAGGAGTGGTAGGGGCTGTGGTGAACTGGACAGTGCTTATCCTGTGGAAGCAGAGAGCTTGACTCACAGGCCTTTACTATGTACGGCTATGTGAGCATCTGAACCCAAGCTTGCCAGATTAGGTAACTGTTTCCATAGCTTTATTAATTTTTTTAAAAGAAAAGAAAATCCCCTCATCCACAATTTTAAAATAAATTCTAATATCTAATGCTGGGCTAATTTTTTTTTTTTTTTAAGTCACAGGGCCAATCGCAAATCCACATCATGCAGACTCAGATCTGAATACTCAGGAGACGAGAGCAGCTGTCTGCCTTTTGACTCCATACGGACACAGCCTGGGTGGCTTTTGTCCTCACTAAGACAGCTGTCCACAGAGCAGGTGAAGGTGCTGAGGTGAGCTGCTCTCTCCGCAGACTAGAGAGAACGCTTTGTGTCACGTGGGGTCACAAACAGCCACCCATGTGGTCACCTTGGGCCTGGAAGACAAAGCCAGCCCCGGAGACTGTGTCCCTTCTCACCCACAATGTTTCCTTGTCCCCATCTCCATGAGAAATCAGGTAAAGAAGGCACTATTTCTTTTCCCTGATTGTCTTCTGTGACTCTTGATTCTCTTGTTTAAGGTACAATCAGGGATTGAAAATTTTTGCGCTAGGATCAAGTATTCATTGTCATTAACCCCCAGGGAAGTCAACTTTACAGTCAAGATTGCGCGAGGGGACTGGTAGATATAGGGTGACCTTCCTTTCCACAAAACAAAAGCTAAAAGGCTTTACTCATTTTCCCCTTCTCCTGAAATAAAGTGATTCATTTCGAGGCAGTCTTGGCAGGAGCACAGGTTGTTTTATGCTAGCCCCATGGTGGTAAAAGACATACCCTTGACTTTCCCTTCTGGATTTCATAGTGGTCATGGTGGTGAGGCAGGTAGAGATCAAGTCATTTTTCAAAGTACAAAGTAAACAATGCTCTATTAAGACTGATGTGAGAGAAGGCAAGGCCATGAGATATAAACTAGACCTGTATTTTCCTAAAGGCAATGGTTTTCTTTTTTTTGTTTTGTTTTTTGAGACAGGGTCTCACTATGTAGTTGAGACTGACCTGGAACTCACTATGTAGCCCAGGCAGGTCTTGAACTCACAGCGATCCCCCTGCCTCAGCCTCCCAAGTGCTGGGATTACAGGAGTGTGGCCACCACACCCGGCTGTGGTTTTCATATTTTAACACAGCTCAGTGCCACCTGTAACACTTGCTGAAATACAGACTTCGGGCCCCACCTACAGCATTTTTAGTGGAGAGGAAGTGCGATTTTCCTTTCTAATACATTCCTAAGTGATGCTGACGTAGCCAGCCCAGGGACCCTGCTTTTGAGAAACACTGATGTAGAAGGACCTTCACAGTAAGTATCGGTAATGCTTCTAAGACCTGAAAACTTCACTAGATTAGGAATTAGAATTTGTCTAATTTTTAAAATAAAGAGTTGACAGAAATTATTTTAATGCTGCATGCACTAGAAAAATCCACCTCAGCACTAAATAAATGTTCTTTGGAGATACTGGTCTATCGAGAGTGCTGGTAGATACAAATGCTTTTCCATTTGCATTTTACTTATGTGAGCATCATTCATGCTCACAAGTTTGATTTGCTAAGAAGTTGCTAATTTCCTCTATTGGTCAGTACTTATATCAAGGCATCCCATTAATAAAATGTTTTAAGATATGAAGAAAGTAAGGTCCTAAGAAATGATTCTAGAGAAAATAAACAGGGTAGAAATGTAGAACTGAAAAAAAAAAAGAAAAGAAATGTTGAACTGCTCACGAAGCTATTGGGTAAGTTTTGAACACTAAGGAGAAGTACAAAGTCATATTTGCACTATTTCTGTATTGGAGCAGCCATTGTTCAGTAAAAACAAATCACCTGGCTTTTTGTTAAGTAATCTTAGATTCTGAACTAGCTTCCCTTTAGGCTTTTTCATAAACAAATAACTAGAAAAGTCTCTAAGGAGGGGAGAGGCCAGTTCCTCATTTCAGCTCTATCTAGGTGCTTACACTCAGCGAGGAGGGTTTGTTGTTACGGGAGTGGCATCGGTGCTCCCAGTGTTCGCCTGGCAGCTGGCTCTGTGGCTCTGCAGACCCTGTGTGTGGTCAGAACCCACCTGGACCATGTCTCTCCCAGAGGCAGACCATCCTACAGGTAATAAAGACATCCCCCTGCTTTTGGGACTTTCCTCTTCTCTTTCTGTTTGTTTAGATCCTGTTGCTACCAGCTTTGCTTGGTCCTGTTCAGCTGGTCTTTCTGGGTCTAATTAGAATTAGTGAATCATTAATCTATGTGGTTTGATTTCTAGTACATTGAGATCCTTCACCAATGGCATGAGTAGCTGTTTACTAGATTCCGAAAGCTTGGGAGATACAAGGCTGGTGAGTTTTTTAGTTTTTTTTTGTTTTGTTTTGTTTTGTTTTTATGATCACATATTGATCTAGTTCCTTATGGCATGAGTAGCTGTTTACTAGATTCCGAAAGCTTGGGAGATACAAGGCTGGTGAGTTTTTTTGTTTTTTTTGTTTTGTTTTGTTTTGTTTTTATGATCACATATTGATCTAGTTCCCGTCTTCTGGGGAGTTCAGAGAAGACTTGCCATGGACCAATTTACTGTTAACTTTTGACCCTTCGCCAAATCTACAAGGGGCCAGCCAGCCTTTCAGAGGGAGCTTCCCAGGAGCCCAGCCATTCATTGAATTCCTGAAACAAACCTGTGAGCCTTCATATAAATGCTGCACAGAGGATAACAGCGGGGAAAAATGGCTTCTGCTAGCTCAAGTGTAAGTTGAGGCTGGAAAGAAAACCAGATCTATTTACTCCAAAGCTTGAGCGCTTCCCACCTCTTTGCAAATCAGCTTCCAAAGCCCTGCTGTATTTAAATTTTCTCCAGCTCATTGGTGAGTCATGTTGGTAGTTACTATTACCTTGACTTAGATGGAGTTATTATTCTGTGGCTCCAATATTCAAAACACTGGCCAATAAATAACACTTAATGACCCTTACGTCCTATTAACTATTAATAACCTCCTACCAATGGTCAGCTGCCTGGATCCAGATGACTGAGCAGTACTCCAAAAACTGTATCCCAACCTCACAGAGGAGGAGGAAGAAGGCCAAAGGATCAGAAGGGAAACTAAGGACTGAGAATTCAGATATAACTATTATGCAGATTCCCATGTTAACTTACTACATTTCTTTAACATTGTCACTGCCTAGGACTTGGATAATTCTCTAGTGTAGAAACAAAATAGAATTCCTGGGAGTGTACAGATGTGAAAGCACCTGTAACTCTGGCTGTCTGCTCAATCATTTGTTTGTCAAGGGAATGAGGAACTGGCCCCTCCACAAGCAGCCAGGAGTTCAGGGCATGAAGAGATCTAATGGATTTGAGGCAATCAGTGGTCAGAATGGCCTTTTTGTTTTCCAGAAACACTGGTACCAATCCCTATAACAGCAACCAGAAGCTACCAACCTCAAAATAAAACTAGTTACCTCCCCGCTTTTGCCAAATAGAAGTTCTATCTGGTAGTACTTTTGACAGCTAAGCTGGACTGTTAATTTAAGTGACTTCAGAGTTACTCAAGAGACTAGTAAAGCTCACTTCTGGGTGTGTTTGGGTGGACCACACAGGAATGAACGTGGTCCTTGGTTCCTGGTCCTTTCCTCCCTGGCACTCCTCCTCTGCTCTGCTTCTTGGCCGGCATGAAATCAGCTTTAATCCACCATGCTCTCCTACTGTGATGTTTCCATTTTGGAGCCAACTAACCATGGACTGATCCCCCTGAAATCATAAGCCAAATAAATCTCTCCAGGTCTAAGTCGCAGGTGTCAGATAGATTGTCTTAGCAACTGGAAAACTGACTGTATTCAGTATCTCCCTTCCTCCAATTTCCCAAAAAGGTATTTCATGCATTCTAGTTTGACATGGGAAGTTCTTTACGCTTGAGTCCTCAGCTCAAAATGCTAAAGAGAAGCCAACATTAAGGACTTCGGAATTCTTTTGCAAATAAAGATTGAACTGATTTTCATCAATATCTAAATAGTTCCCTAAGCAGCTCTATGGTCTAAAATCCAGTACCTGTTTATTTCATTTGACTGTAAAACCTGGTGAGAGTCAAGGAGCAATGTAAGAGATCACAAAGTTCCCCAAAACAATATAACAATGTTGTCTTAATGATGATCAAACATTGAGTTCCTCCTCTCTACAAATGAGGGTAAATGTAAGAGACTTTAACTGATGGAGGGAGTACATCAGTGTAGTGTCCTTACCTCTTAAGGTAAAGGAAAATAATTATATGCTATAAAAGCCGGAACCAATTATTGTGTTCTCCATAGAACTACAAACATACGATAAGCGCTGCAGTATGAATGATAATCAACAATGGGTCATAAGGTCAGGTCATGAGGAAACATTTATTGGTTTTCACCATTTGCTATTATCATGTTGAAGAAATAAACAGCACATTGTAGAACACGTCCTACTAAAACGTATTGCCAGTAAAAGAGTAAGGGAAAGGAAAAAAGGGAAAAGAAAAAATATGAGAAGAGGAAAAATGTGGAAACAATGTCTTTGTAAATGGGGAAGGGTGGAGGGGATGAAGGGAGGGCAGAGAAATGGGAAAAAACTAAGAACCAAGATACATCATGTAAAGGCACAAGATCCTAATGATGAATATAACTCTTTTTTTTTTTTTTTTTTTTTTTGGTACCAGGGATTGAACTCGGGTCCTTGCGCTTGCAAGGCAGGCCACCAAACCACTGAGCCCTTATAACTCTTTTGTATACCTAAAATGTACTAATAAACTTAATGGGAAAAAATAAAATAAAATAAAATAAATGAGAAGTATTGCCCATGTAATTCAAATTATGTGCTCTAAAAAGTATATTATTGTTATGGTTACATTTTGACTATCCGAATATATTCGTTCCTATGGGAAATACTGCATAAACAGAAATTAGAGAAGGAAGGGTTTATTTTTGCTCATGGCTTCAGAGGAGTCCGTTCATCCTAACCCTACATTCAGCTACGAACATCAGTGGATTTAATCCACTGATGAAGATAGCAGCCCCGAGATTCTATCATCTTTCCTAAAGCCTTTTAATCCAATCAAGTTAACAATTGACTCACAAGGCCCACAGGGCTCTAGATTGCTGTGTTTCACTTTAGATTTATAGAATCACTGAAACTATTATTGGAGCTCTCAGAACACGTGATAAACTGCTGACTTTTCATCCACAAACCATCGCGGTACCATCTAAGATGTCTCCCCTGTTGCCCATGGCCGTGGAAGATGGTTATGAGGTCCATCCCACGGTTCCGCCCTCACCTATAAATAATCAACCGTTGTCTCACATGCAATAATTGATGGGGTGGATAAGAATTTATATTCCCACATATAAATAAATACCTTATTCATGTGGAAAACTGCAAAATAAAAGAATTGTCATCAGTCATTTCCATAAATCAAGTTGTCAAATGCCAGACTCAGCTTTGCATGAGAAGGGTTTAATTGGGCAGTAATTCTATATGTATGAATCCCAGAAAACACCTCACATCTTGAGAGGAAAGGCAGCTAGGGAGACCTACATTTTTCATTTTAAACTCAAAAGTCGTTTTTTTTCCTAAAATATGGGGTTCAGTAAACTCTAAAGTGAGTTTTGCCAAATAGTTCAATTATCCTAGAATGAGTGTCTCAATGTATAATTTAAACATTGGGAGAAAGGGCTTTGTTTTCTTTCTTCACACACCCTTGGAATGTAGCAAAATACTCAAACACGTACATAAAAGCAGAGCATAAGGAGTACTTGATGTATATTTGATTGTTTGTTTGTTTGTTTGTTTTGAGACAGGGTCTCACTATGTAGTTGAGACAGACCTGGAACTTACTGTGTAGCCCAGGCTGATCTCGAACTCACAGAGAGATCCTCCTGCCTCAGCCTCCCAAGTGCTGGGATTACAGGCGTGTGCCACCATGCCTGGCCTTATATTTGATTATTTTTAAATGGAATAATCAAAAAGTGGTTAGCGATGTCGCCTCCAAGATTTAGTGACTAAGTCACTAAATTTTAAATGCTTTTTTGTTTGAGTCTGGATGGGATATGACATAGATAGTAAATATACCTCAGTATACTATTTATATGGGAAGGCTGGAATCGGGTACATTAATTATCTTCAAAATATAAAGGATGCTCATGCAAGCTAGGCTGTATCCATGTCCTCTGAAGAACTAGAAGTTTTCCTCTGAAATTTCAAATACCTCTTCCTCACCTCAGTCTCCTCATTTACTGCAGATCCCACGGGCTGCCCCACCCCGCTGAAGACACAGCGACCTGCTTGTCATTCTCCTTTGGGAAAGGACAAAGATACATCAGAGGAAGAGCGGCTGTCCGGGGTGGAGCCTGAGCAACCTCAGTGTGGTCCAGAGAACAGCAACCCAGACAGTGTCTCCTGGAAGCATCTAGAAACCGGTTCTCTTGGCCCCATGCAGAAGGTGAAGTCATCTGGCCCAGAGGCGCAGCCCCAAGGCCGTGAGACCTCTCCTCAGGGCCCATTAAGCCTGTCCAAGAAGCACTGTGAGAACCAGGGGACCCTTCTGCAGTTTGACCGGCAGGCCCCTGGACGCATTTCCACCTCTCCTACCTTGAGGAGGTTAAGGGGCAGTGGCAGGGGGACTTCTTTCTCACTGTCTCAGCAAGATGCCTTGCAAGTGCCCATTTGGGGAAGCTGGAGAGCCCTTGCAGGCTCCCCAGGTCACCAATCCAAGAGCCCACTTGGAAGCCCAAAGGATTCGCCACACTCCCTGTATCCCTCAAGTCCCCACTCAGGACCACCTGCGGACCCTAGCAGGGCCCTCAGCACAGCTGACTCCATGGAGTCCCAAACCGGGTCTCCTGATGAGGACCCCCTTCCAGTGCCACAGCCCATCAGCCAACCGTCCCTTCACCAGCCCTCTCTTCCAGCACAAGAAGACTGTGGACCTCCCAGCCCCAGCCCACGGCACCCAAATCCTCAGGTAATCCAGCCCTAAGTCTTTTGTCTTGCATTTGGTGGACCACAAAGCAAATAAGTCTCAGGGTTGCTCCCTTCTCCTAAAGGCCATGGGGTCCTGTGATGTAAGATGGCATTAGACGACAGGGATCCCTTTAGGAAGTACTGAATCTCAAGTGCAGGAAACTCAGTATTTAAGGGAAGAAAAATGGAGGTCTAGCCTAATTCACTTTCCACTGTATCCTTGAAGACACTTTAAATAAGGTATGGATGGTCTTTAGGGCATTGTGTAGCAGTGATGACCCTCTTGCAAATACTACTTGTAGACAACTGGTGTGGTTGATTTTGAAGAGGAAAAAGAGCCAATTGCTCAAATTTCCTGTTTCCCTTTCTTCAGAAAGAGATAATAATAATAATAATAATAATAATCTTGAACATTTTAGCCAGAAGAGTTCATTGCTACCAATCTCAAGATATCTGCTTTGGAATGTTGGATGGGTCTGAGCAAGACTAATACATATATTTTTTTTTAATCTGTTACAGGCAGAAGAATCACATCGCTCCAGGTAGGGATGCTCTCATAATCTCCATTGTGTGCCATATGTTGACCATTTACCCTCTTCCCCTCATGAGTGTGAGAGTCTTCATTTCAGAAGCCTCCTTTCAGAGCATAACATTTTGCCAGGCCTTTTGGGAATGGATGACTTGCACTCATGGTTTTCATTCTGAATTGACAATCTTTGGCCCTGTGGCTTGATTAACATCCATTTAGTAATAAGTTGTGTGTGTTAAACAAAATGGGCACAGTTTGTAATAGCTAAAACTTGGAAACAGCCCATTTGCCCATTAGTTGGAGACTGGATAAAGAAGATGTGGTTTGACTATAAAATGGAATACTACTCAGCCATAAAGAATGAGAAATTAGACTCATTCATAGGAAAATGGATACATATTGAGGATATACTCCTAAGTAAAATAAATACGTCACACATGTGTATATACCAAATAGTTTCTCTGGTGTGAAAAACTATAATAGTACATAAGATCCTAATGAGATAATTGACAATGTGAAATAGGAAGAAAAGGACTAAAGGTGTAGGGAAAGTGGGAAAGGTAATAAGGGGAAAGGAAAAAAATGAGAAAATGAAAAAATGGAAATAAAGTATTTGTAAATGGGGATGAAGAGAGGGCAGGGACAAGGGGAAAAAATGAGAACAAAAACCTGTCATGTAAAGGTACAAGATCCCAATGAGGAATGTAACTGTACTATGTACCTAAAATGTACCAATAAACTCAATGAGGAAAAAAAAATGGGAAGGCCAGAACACCCCAATAGCTTTTCAAAGAGAAATTCAAAGGATCATGATACAAGGAACCAGGTGTCCTGTTTAAATCTAATCTGACCTTTAAAATATCTTTTATGACAGACTACGCCCTTATCTAGAAATTAAGAGGGCTGTGTCACTTTGGAAATCAGTTCTGAGCTTTCTGCATGGCCCCTAGCTGAGACAGCAGATTTGCCTCGTCTCCTAGGAGGGAAGTATTTCAATGGCATAAAGGGAAGGATCCCTGTCCAATTTCATCCACCTGATTTTGGGGATCATCAAGAAAGCTTTTATTTCATTTGGATAGTCCCAGGGAAAAAGGTCACTGTTTCATTATTGGACCTCCGTTCTCAAGCCACAGTGTGCTGTTCCTAAGAATATGGGTGATATCCACAAAGAAGTCATTTTTGACTTTGACTCACCTTCACTTAAATGTATGAACAAAGGTAGAGAATATTGCAAAGCCATGAGCAAATGCAAATTAGTGTGTATAGTGTATCAGTTAGCTATTGCTATATAACAAACATCCCAAAACTCTTGAAGTGACCACCAGCTATTGTGTTTTATAAATCTATGTTTGCCCTAAGGCTCACCTGGTCTAGGCTGGGCTCAGGTGGGTAGTTCTTATATTCATATCCCCATGTCTTTCCTGGGACCAAAAGGCCTCCCAGAGCCTATTTTTTGAGGGAAAACCAAGGTTCAAGAGCACAAGTGGAAACATGTGCAATCTTCTGGAGCCTGAGCTCTGAGTCTTGTCTGGGTTTATTGGCTAAAGCAAGCCACACGGTCGAACTCAGGGTCAGGGAATTTATGTGGCACCAACAGCAGGGGAGCACTGAAGCACTGACATGTTATGTGACAAAGCATAGGGACACGAGGTTGGTGGAGAATGGAACCACTAGCAGAAAACTTTCATAGGTATGAGATGGAAGAAAACTCTAAAATGCTATGTGTGTAATACAGATGTGTCAGAGGAAGAGGAACAGAGTGTCAGAGAAAGACAGTGTTGGTTAGAGTCAGATCATGTAAGTCAAATAGCATTTTTAGAACTTCTGTTTCTTTCACTAATAGCAAGCATCGTGAAAGCATTGAATGAACTGATAGGATTAGATGGATGTCATGGGATTAGATGAAAGTAGGCTCAAGCAAAATAGATGCAAGTATGAGAAGTTGGTATGTTAGGCTGTGATAAAGGCAGTGGAGTTAAAAAAGCATAATGGGCATTTGGGAGAAACAGTCACCTGGATCTTCTTGGCGGGGCGGTGACGAGGACATTGACAAGAATGACTGAAAGAATTCTGCTTACACCACCAGGTGATCGGTGTTTCCATTCCGTGACCTGGTTTAAGTTGGAAGAAGAACTTCTTTCCTTGTTGCCATTCCGTCTCTCCCTCTATAGTACGGGCATGAATTCATTCTCCAAACCTTCCTGTTCTATATACCAAAATATTCCCCCAGAAAAGAATGTTTACAATATATTATTACTAAAGTGTGAAGGGCTTTTGGGCTCAGCAACATGTACTCTTCTCTGTTGAAGTAGAACCCTACAGATCTCCCTTTTTAGTTTCCCGGTACCTTAAAAGTGTCTCCACCATAGCATGGAAAATGGTATTCATCTGCTCCAAGAATGAAAACCTTCCCAAGGACAAAGACCTCTTATTTATCTCTGAAGCTCCAGCAACAGCACCCAGCCAGACTCTACTTCCAAGAATATTTATTGACAGAAAAGATGTATGGACAGAGAAAGCTTTGAGGGCTTGCAGAACACTTAGATTATAATGTCTCCTGACGATTCCCAGTGTATTTGCATCTTGGCCAAGGACAATGCTAATGGCCATAAAGCTGTGTTGTTGGGATTTTAAACATCAGGAAGCAAGTGAGAGGGATTTTATGGGTAGCATTGCCTTCCCAGTATGCCTTAAACTCTCCATGCACAGAAAGCTGCTTCCCTCACCTAATTGTCAGCTCAGCACTGCAGCCAAGGAAAATATACATATTAGATTTCAGTGAGAATAAAGTCTAAACTTCTGTGCTCAAAAGGAAACGGGAAGAACATTAAGTAGATCCATATTAACAAGCAAGGCAGTATTATTAGCACGAAAACCAAAGGGCAATGTATTTGAAAGTCTCTCTTGAGAAAGAAACTAAATAAAATATCAACAGAACTTGTCACATCCATCCAGGGTGACCATTTGTGGGCAGCACAGCACCAAGATATGAGCTGCTAGAGTCAAACAGCTGAGTTCGAATCCTGTTTCCACTTTCTGGCAACATGGTCTTGAGAAGTTTCCTGAATGGGTGGAAATGAATATTTTCATCAAAGAAGGGGAGATTCAAAACAGCATTTATCTCATAAGCCTTTTGTACTGTTTAAACAGTGAAGTACAAATAGTGTCTATTGTTATTTTGTGGAGACACCATCTGTTCATTCATTCAGAACTTCCCCAACAAAGTTGCAGATTTCTTTTTTATTTTATTTATTTATTTATTTATTTATTGGTTTTTTGAGACAGGGTCTCACTGTGTAGTTGAGACTGACCTGGAGCTCACTATGTAGCCCAGGCTGGTATCGAACTCACAGCGATCCTCCTGCCTCAGCCTCCCGAGTGCTGGGATTACAGGAGTGCACCACCACACCCAGCTAAAGTTGCTGATTTCTAAGATATTCAGAGTTAAATGTTTGATCACAGAAAGCTCATCTGATGTGTCCCAATATTAAGCAGAATACAATATTATACCTTCCACAGATTTTTATTTCAAAACTATGATGTAATTAGCACTATCTGAAAACTCCTGGAAACACAAGAAAGGGAGAAGACTCAACAAACTTTTTAAAAGCTTGTTCAGACAGCATTAACTACAGGCTCATAGGCAGCATATTGTTAAATCCTCAGCCTCAGAGAACCAACTAGTATGGGCATGGCTGTAGGGAACAGCACGCCCTGCTTCCATGAGCCTCAGAAGTCCCAGGAAAGCTGGAGTGTTCGTTAAGGTATTCCCACAGCTTAGCACAGTTTCTTGCACATAATAGGTACTCAATAAATGTCTAAGGAAGCAAAAAGGAAATGGATCCTGGCATTGTGGTGCATGACTGTTATACTAGTGCTCTGAGAGAGCACAAGTCTGAGTCTGAGACACTGTCTCAAAATGAAAAAAGAAAGGCTGAGAGTGTAACTTAGTGTGAAAGGCCTGTGTTCAATCCCCAGTGCTACACAAACAAAGGAAATGGATTATTGGCTCGGCCTGGATGTGTCTTGTAGGAGAAACTGCATGATCTGTTTGACTGTTGCCCCCTTTTGTAGAAAATATTTTCTCCTCCAAGTACTTACATGCCATCTCCCTCTAGCTTTTGTCTTTCTTATTGTCTTGTGCTTATTTCTTGAATATATCTGAGGCCTGTGGAGATTTGTACAATGGTTGCTTGAATCCATTAAGTAATATTTTGAATCCCGCCCAAAAGACATAGTAACCTAGAAAGAGGATAGAGCTGTGTGCTCTGGAGACAAGTGTATTCAAAGCCCACCAAGCCACAGCATGAGGTATTTTCCACACACGGGTGAGACTCCCAAACAGTGTCTCTGTTGGGATTCCAATGTGTGTGACAAGCACATGTGCTGCAGGGGTTTGCTCCATGCTTATGAAACAGGCCAGTGCGAGGCTCTTGGCAGTAAACAATGAAGGGGACCCTCCTCATGCGTTCTGAACCGCATTTCCATCAAATGGAACATGATGGCAAGAAGTTGAACTAGAAATTATAGTCAAACATAGAAAAGTATGTTACTCTCAAACTTCCGAGACCCCCAGTAAAAAAACATATCCTAGATTCAACCAAAAAAGCTACAGCTCCATGGTCGGCATCAGAGGTGTCATTCCTCTGTTACTAATAAGAGTTCTATTTTGTTTTGTTTTGTTTTGGGGGATCGAACTCGGGACTTTGCACTTGCGAGGCAGGCGGCAGAACCACTGAGCTAAATCCCCAGCCCTCATAAGAGTATTTTTAAAAGCTCGTTATTGATTCTTAATTTGTCCCTCTTATGTAATCAACCATCATTACATGCAAACATTCAAAACCACACTATATTTCTTGTGTAAAGTGAAGCCCGATTCTTAACAAAGAACATCTACCTTTTCTGGTCATGCAGTTGTTGAAAAGTGCCTGCTAGAAAAGGCTACATTCTATGAGCTTTTGCTCTCGGGGAAGAAATATAGTTTCTGAGGAATACAGCATAATAATTTGGGAAAAAACACTGGGCAGCATTTGTAGCAATGCAGAGACAAATGTCTGCATTACGGTGGCTCCAATGAGATTTTTATTCCATTGAGACACACATATCAGCTTAGGGAAGTTGCTGCTTACCCCTTATATTCTCTAACATTTTTCTAAGTTTTCCCTTAAAAATTACACCTGGTAATTAAGGCCAGTGGCCCTTAGTTTAAATCAGCTGTAGAGAAGGAATCTTTTTAAAATGTGAACGATCTATGAGTCATATTTCTAAAGAGGGAACTCTGAATTACACATTTTCAAGCATTTCTGCCAAGACAAACCATCTCCACGTAAGCCCCATACCACCCATTGGCCATTGAAGGAGGAAAATTGAGTGGTCCTCCGTCATGAGCCTGTTCTGAGAGATGGAAAAGGTCTTGCTCACCACACTCATGTGCCACAAGGGGAATCAGGGGCCCAAAGGAGCAAGATGCCAAGGTCACTCGCAGTGAAGGTCACCGCTGGGAATCTAGTCCTAAGGCCGGGGCCTTTGCCATTCAATTGAAATGACCCCAGGATTAGCTTCCTGCGGCTGCTACAATGAATCAACATAAGCTGGGTGGCATGAAAAAAGAAAAGTAGAAATTTAGCCTTTCCTGGTGTTGGAAGCCAGAAATCTGAAATCGTATGGCTTGAGCAACACGTCCTCTGGAGGCTGTAGGGGAAAATCTTCCTTGCTCCTTTATGCAGGCATTGCATGGCTTGTGGCTGTGCCCCCTCGGTCTTCACATGGCCTTCTGTCCTTGCTGAAGCTCTTCTCCTATTGTCTTCTCTCAAGACCCTCATCAATGAACCTCTTCTCACCCCAATCCGTCCTTTCATCACATCTGCTCAGACCCTTCTGATAAATAAGGCTCAGGGGACCAGAATGCGGCATTATCACAAGCCCGTTTTTACTCAAGTTAACTCCAATCAGGAAAGCAGGTAGTAATTTAGAACCGACACTGTGTCTTGCAGTGATTGGCCATATCTTCTTCTCTTTCTCCTGTTTACAAATCTTTCTAGAGTCAGACCTGCCTATTGGAATTCTGAATTCTTGCTCTGTCACTCACTAAGTTTTAACATCCTCTGGTCTAAACTGAGAGTAGGAATTTCTACTTCCAAGGATGCTTGTGAAAATAAATAATGTATGTAATGGTGATGTATGTAAGAAGCTTAGCGGCATGGCTAGGGAAAAATCAGAGCTCTGTAAATGTCAGCTAATTTTAAATTAGAATAATATTACCAAGATCCATCTGTTGCTTATGAAACATACACATCTGGGGTGAGTGGACAACTTTTCTAGCACCAACTTGTAGGGTCCCAGCCTCATTGTTGAGTGTTGACTCATGGGTGCAGGGCCTGCTGGGTGGTGAAGGGAATTCCTGAGATTCTCTGAATTGCTGCTGCCCCAGCCCACACGGTGGATCTGCCAGCCTGCAGCAGAGGACAGAATACGGAGACGTTCTGGTACCAGGAGGGAGACAAAGTCATTCCAGCCACCATGGGCCTGGTCCCTTCGGATCTGACCAGCGTGGGGCATCGCAGCTCGGGGTTAGTGTAAGTGTGGCTGTATTGTGGTTTTTGAGCGGGACTGGGGTTGGCCAGGGCAAGGGGTCAACTTCAGAGGGCTGCAGAGTGCGGGTGAGGCACTCGGCGATACAGCCTCCTGGATCCAGGAATTGGTCCTGCAGTGAAATATTAATAATCAAGATCAAGCAAAGCACACCAAAAAGTATGTGTTTCTCAAAAATAGGAGTGTTTTTCCAAACCAATGAAGGGCAGAATGGTTAAATCGTCACTGTGCTTACACAGTGGCAATGGGTGGCCGGCAGCCCTCCAAATGTTTCGCATTTATTATTTGTTTATTCTCAAGTTTAATTTCCTTATAAGAGAACCAGATATCTGAAAATACCATTTCCTGCCCTTTTCACACAGGACACTTTCAGCCCGTGCAGACACTGCTTTCTTTGTTGCTGTGCATCCTGAATTCATAACAATTACTTTCAGTGGGTAATCAGTCCGGAACCGAACACATGATCCTGCATGCATGCCACTTTTGAGAAGAAGCAACCTTAGTATTTAGGACAGCACCAATAACACATCAATCTGCAACCAACACACTCCCCCAAAAGACTTAAAGTCAAAGCCACATAGACCTCATTTAACTATTTGCATTGATATCATCAATCCAGTGTCTGACCAGCTCCAGGTGAGAGACCAGGATGCTTTTTAGACTGCCCAGAAATACAGTCACTGCCAGGCATGAATGATGTAATGCTGTTTTCTCTACCCATCCATATCTCTTCATATTACTAGGTGCAAATATTCTTTCTGTTTGCTTTCCTGGGTGTCTATAGTGTTACAACTGTGATTTTTGATATTATTTATTAACCCATGCTGCCTTTTGATGAACAAAAACATTTCATGTCCACAGGGATCCTATTGTGTCCTTCAGAGACATCCCCACCTCCTCATAAAGAGCATCACTGGGTTTTTGACCATCAAAGTCAAAAGCCAAGGTCATGGTTCAATGCTTGTGCAAGCCAGGTGTCTTCCCTCTTCTCCATACATGCAAATGCAACTCCAGTCCTGACCTATGGATGCTGTATGTTCAACGAATGGGTTGGGTAATGTAACCCACCTATAATGAAACAGAGAAAGTGAGGGAGGATAACATTGTGTTCTGCTTTTGTGCATGCATACAAGTACTCATCTGTGGTCCAGAATGTAGAACCAAATTCACCCAAATTCACTGGAGGACTGTCAGTGTTTTATTCTATAGGTCAACATGTCTATCTATTTAACAAGTTTGTGAAAGCCTGCACTATGTCATATTCTATGCTAAGTAATTTGATCCTGTACTATACAAGGACCCAGGAGGAGCCTCCAATGAAATTATTAGAGGAGCCGAGGTAGAGGGAGGAGAAGGAGAGGAGAGAGGGTTGACCTTCTTAAATGGACATGAGGAAGACCATCTCAGCTGGAACTTAATGATGAATCCATTTGCTAGGGAGATTGAGCTGAGCTAGGGAGGCAGATGGTCTCTGCCCAAACCCAGGCGTGGAGGTGTGAAGTACAGAGTGATCAAAGAACAGCGTGCAGCTCACGGCTACTGGAGTAGTCATTCTGCAGGAGTGCATGTCCGGGAATGCCAGTGACAGTCCTACGCTGGTGTGGGTGTTGTTATAGTTCCATTTACTTCACAAATGTTTGCTGGGCCCTTTATTAAACAGAGACTTAGCATTTCCAGCTAAGGCACCTACAAGTGAAAACACTGCCATGTGTGGAAAACTGCAATGCACCCCTTTTTTCTGAAGAATAAATTGCAAAGCAAAGACCACAGAAAGACTGAAGGTTTAGAATGACTTGAGGTGGGACAGGATGAAGAGCCACCGAAGTGTCTTTAGCCTCAGAGAGACAAGGTCAGCCTTAAATTTTGATGAACTCACATTTAATGATTTTGTACAGGATGGAATTGAGCAGATAAAGCTGAAGGTACAGAACCAAGAGGTGATTGTGGTGGTACAGACAAGAGATGCAGGCAGTTAGCGGCCACTTCTGTGTGACCAGTGGAAGGACGGGGACTTGCCTGAACCCCTGCTCTGAGCTTTCACCTTTCCTCTCTTGAGCACAGGTTCTATGAGCACAGGCGGAGTTCCGTGGTGTTGAACTTACCTGGACTTGAAGTGTTCCCCGGGGACCTCCTGGTGTCTGACGGAGCTGCCGATTATCTGTGCCACCCACTTCTGCTGCTGAATTCAGGTCCCGTTCATTCAGCTTGTGTTCATTGTATGTCTGCTATGGGTCAGCGATGGCTGTAAGCAGGAGAGATTCCCTAAGTACTTAATAACTAGGAGGACACTACACCAATGTGTTGGAACCAATGCCTTACCAACTGGATCAGGCACAAGGCACGAATTATCAGAACCTCCAATCATGATGGTAGGCATTGTATTTACAGACATGGATAAGGAATGGGTCTCCCCTTAAATGATCTCTTATGAAATTATTTATCCCAAGTCAGGGACCCAGGATGGGTGCGCCTGTGAGGGTCACCATTTTGGATCAGAGTGCCTTTGCTGGCTGGTGGTAGCTTTTCCTTAATTTTTGTGTCTCATCTTTCACACACTGCTGTTCTTAAGTCTCACACTGAGATCTTCCAGCCAAGATGGAAGCACTTGGAGGAAGCTGAGGGTCTGAGGGCACATGAGTGTCTGACAGAGAGGATCCTAGGGTGGATCCTCAGCTGTGAAGAAAAAGAGCAACTATAGTGTCGCAGTGCTCTCCTCATGATGCTGAGGGGAGGTAAGTTGCAGACTTTGAGACCCAAAAGGAGATGTAAATATTGTCCATATGAGTGGTTTTTAAACTGATAGGTCTTAGTAGGGTCCATTTTACAAAAGAATTCTCATTCAGAAATACAGAGAGACCCATGTCTAAGGCACCTCTAAGAGCCTTGGACACCTGGCAGTTCTTATGCACAAGTGTGAAAAGTAAGGCCCCCCAAAAGGGAACTAGTCATGGTGTCAGCCACCTGTCTCGGAGGAGTGGTGTCTAAACCCTCAGTGGTAGCACACGATCCTTCTCACCAGCCCGAATCCACCCCTGCTCTCTGGGCAGATGCACCGTCTGTGTGCAGAACCCAGAAGCCACCAGGGAGTACAGCGTGAAGAGCATGCTTATAACTCTTTCATCTTTGTAGATCTTTCCCATCTACTGTCCTACATGATACAAAGCGTAAGAACAAACAGCTATTACCTCCTAAGATACAGCAACCCAAGCAAACAAGCCAAGAGGGGCTACACGATCTGCTGGAGTCGTGCCCTGCAGAAGGCCAGGCCTCTTCTAAGCCCAGCCTAACAGCAGCATAGCTTAGTCGTGTTTCGTGACACCTCACAGATCTTCTGAACCTGTTAACCAGAGGCTGTTCTCACCACGGCAGCTTCGGCACCCCCTGAGAAGTTATCAGAAATTAAGATTCTTGGCCCTGTGCCACACCGGCCAAACTTTCTAAATCAGAAACTCTAGGGGTGTTGTCTTCCAATTCATTTTTTAAATTAATTTTATGTGCATTTTAGGTATATAGAATGATGGCATTCACCATGGGGAATTTGTGCCTGCACATGATGTATCTTGGTTCTTATTTTTCTCCCCGTACCCCTGCCCTCTCTTCACCACCTTCACCCTTCCCTGTTTACAAAGACTTTGTTTCCATTTCCTCCTTTTCTCCAATTAATTCCACTCCCTTCTTCTTTCCTTTCCCCGACCCCTCTCTCTTCCCCTTCCCCTTTGCCCCTTTTCTTCCTATTTCACATTATCTATTAGGATCAAAAGTTATAATACACACTCTTCCAGTCCATTTTATAACAGGCCCTGCAGGTGATTGTGATGCCATCTGAAGTTCTAAGGAACAAGCTCACACAGCAGTGCCAGTGTGACGCTCCCATGTTATAGCAGCTGTTTGTTAAACTGGGTGTCTAGCATCATTGTAGGCACCGCATAGCCCACTGTGACCTCTTCTCAAGGAATTCAGAGCAGACGTCTCGTGTGCCCAACGCCCAGCCCACAGTAGTGCCTCTCCTTGATGTTCATATGAGACTTCTGCAGAAATTGTTGAAATAGACATTTTGATGTAGCAAACATATTTAAGATAGATAATGAACGACTATCTAGTCAATAAAGACGCATTAAAATCGTCTTCTGAATACTTGTAAAGTCTCCCGTAAGCTCCACAGTTGTCCTCAAAGTTGAAAAACCAGAGGGAGAAACTTGCCTAGGACAAGACAAGTCCATTTAGATAACTTACTACCGATCATTGGAAGGCTGAGTGTGGTGAGTCTGATTTTGCCCTGAGGGAGGTTCCACCTACTTTCCCCTTCATAAAGCCCAAAAATGTGGTCAAAGAGAATGAGAGGAGAACCCTTCGGGAGGATTAGGACCGGTCCAAGGTCACAGTAGAAAAGGTCCCTAAACACACTCTTCGCAGTAAGTGCTGCTCACATAATTACTTGTGTCTGACTGAAGCACGGTGGAGATGGGCTCAGTGAATCCAACAGAAAGACACCCCCGGGAGAGCCATTTGTACACTGAGTGGCCAGAGTTTCCCACATAACCTAAGAGACAATTCCCAGCTGGCTTTTTTTAAAGCAACATAAACAATACATCATTTTTTAATTTGATTTCTTTACCTCTTGGTTATCAAAACAATATGTGACTGAATAATGACTCCTTTCTCAACTCAGAGCAGCTCCTAAGGACTAAGTAGGACACTGGTGGTGACGTACCGTTGCTCCCTATTTCACGGGTCTGCTGAACCACATCTGGACTGGGCTGATGCAAGCTCCAGGCTGAGCGTGGTCAGCCTCCGGACATTACACGTGAGGAAGGGTTTGTAGTAGGATGAAGTCAAAACAAAGAAGCAGTCCTTCCCGCCCCAAGTGCTTTGATTCTGTCTTAAATTAATTTCTCAGCAGCAGCATCACCTTATAGATTTCTCCCTAAGCAACAAGGAAAAGAACACTAACCCTACCCCAGTGCAGAAGCGGGCCAGTGTCTTTGTCAGGGAGCAGAAGCACCCCAACCTTCAGGTTATGACGTGGTACCATTCATTCATCTGCAAAAATATACTCCTTCTGAGCATTTTCTAGAGGAGGAGAATGAAAGCAGGGGGAGTTCTGCTTGGCTTATTTTCAAAAAGGAGGTTTCATAAAACGCTGCAATGACCTGTCACCAGTTACTCTAAGTAACAGTATATTTTATTTCACCCTCCAGAATCCAAAAAACCAAGATGGCCTTTCTCCAAGAGAGGAGCGGTAAGTGCTGTACATTGTAATTTTTGTTTATAATTCAGCCGCTGGTAGCTAAGGAAGTAAGAAATGGCTGAAAAGCCTCTTCCCCCTGCTTCTTATCTGCATAAAGGCGGGTGGCACAGAGTCTAAGTGACTTTGTCACAGCCGCAGCACTCACTGCAGGAAGTGTCAAATGGTGCTACTGGTCCAGTGAAACAGCGTTAATCACCGGTGGTTAACAAGTTCTACAAAACAAGCAAAGCAATTCCAACTTGGTGTGGCTTTACAGCACTACATTTACACTTAGTGCAACTCATTAAGCAGCTCACTCGGTGAGGGGAATTTGAACAAGTGTGTGCCCCAAGTTGCAGGCAGTACCTTGTATATTGGGAACATTGAAAAATTAATGAGATGTCACATGAACCAGATTCTACAAATACACGACCACTTCTGGGAAAGTCAGTTGGATACATTCTAGTAGGTTTTGTATTTGTTTTTTTTTGTTTTTTTTTTTAATTCATTCTCGACTCCAGCAATTATTGAAGAGTAATAAATCTAAGTCAGTGCTCCCTGGGAGTCTTCACTACCTAGGACATGTGTGGTCTAGGCTGTGCCTCTCCTGCTGGCTCATTGACGGTAGAGGGAGGGGGTGTTCATGATCTTAGGCTCTGTCCTCCGGGTCCCTGGAGGAAGCAGAGCTGATGTGTGTGCTCCTGACAGTTCCAACACGGATACACTGCAGCCAGTGGGGGGCAGCAGCGCCCTGGGGAAGCTACTGTACTTTGGTTGGTTCAAACCATGCGCTGCCCTCAGGGTCTCTCCCATCAGAGACAGTCACTGACATCTGCGATGTCTCTATGGACACAGATACCTTGGAAACTTGAAGTCCAGTAGCTGAATTAAAAGTCCTCTAAGGTTCCAATCCTAGCTGCTGCTCTCACTGCTTCATGACCTTGGCCACATGAATTAACTCCCTCAGCTTCGGAGCTCTTCCGGTAGAAGGCAGGAAGTCCTAATGGCAGCCCCACAGGAAGTTGTGATGACCATGTGTTACACATGAAGTTTTCCCCAGACCTTGTAAACTTTCAGTCAATACTGTCATAGTAGTAGTAGCCTACTACTATGTAGTGGTATTTTTTTAATTAGTTTGGAAAATCTACTTATTCTCATAGCCATGTATATGATTGGCTTTCACATTATTTTTTTCAAAAATGAAAATTTTGTATGGAACAGACTAAACAATTCGAACTCCATGTTGTTGGGAACATGGTGACATCATTGTCATGAGGGCTGTTGCCCATCATTCAGGGACACGCTGTGACACTGTCCTGGTGGGTCTGAGATGGGACAGCCCCTCCTGGGCACCTTCCTCCTCATGGGGGCTGATCCTGACCCTAGTCTTTCCTGAGATCCCAGGAGGGGTTCACTTTCCCCCAACTCCCCGAGGGCTCCTCCAAGAAAGGGGAATTCTAAGGATACCTGGGAAATCAAGAGTGCTTTCCAAAGGGAAGAACTTAGCAGGAGAAAAGGACTTCATCAAGGGAGGAATATCCTACAAGCTGTCAAGAGCAATCTATGTTTTGCCCCATAAAGAAGCAACTTGCTCCAATGTGTGTGTTGGGTGATTGTATGTGTCAATTTCTGGGCTAATTGAGAGGGTCAGCTGGAAATACAAACTGGGGAGGAAATGTACCAAATGGTTTTTACTCTGAATTGGGAGACAGTAGTGGAGACACACAAAGAAAGAATGTTCCTGTGCCTTGTATAAAACAGTGTAGTGTCTGCACATAACCTAGATGTGTCTTCCTCACAATCATTTCCACTTGTGATGTGTAACACTCTGTCAACGCTACACAAATGGTTGCTCTACTGTGTTGTCTAGGAAATAATGACAAGGAAAAGAGTCTGTATATGTCCAACACAGGCATACTCATTTCTGACGGCTTTTCATCGGTGTTAGGTTGAGTCCATGAACTGAAACCTGTGGGCTGCTTCTGTGATGAAATGACATAATATTTTCAGCAAAAGTTCTCGGAAGGAAGGAAGGAAGGAAAATTCATTTCTCTAAGCCCCTGTTTTCCTAGGAGCTCTGTATCTGGTTCCCTTAAAATGGACAGGTCTGCTTCCTTCACCTTCTTAGCCTTACTTATCAAGCCATTCATACATTTTGAAATGATAATCCACTTACACTTCTAAATTGTGACATATTTCCCAATCTAGTACAGCTTTTTCTTTTGTGTCCCTTCCTTCCTTCTCTTTCCTTTCTTGCTAAAGATCAATATTAGTGATAAAGGTTCTGTGTCTGTGTGTGTGTGTGTGTGTGTGTGTGTGTGTGTGTGTGTGGCCACAGTACTGGATGCCGTTTCTGCTTCCATTGCTTACCTGTGTCTTCATTTGTGCATTTCATAGCTTACACATCAATGTGTAGATTCTTACACTCTAACAAGGTGGGTCACGGTAACCCATTTCACAAAGGGGGGATGGATGGGTTCAGAGAGGCTGAATCATTTCCCTGTGGTCACACAGCTTATGAGAAGCAGTTCTCAGGATTTGTCCCCAGCAGTCCTGGGCAGTCTGGCTGTGAGTCTGCCCCAGCCCTGACCTTGCACTACTCCACTGTCCCCATAACCAGACTGGATTTTCCTCCCTCCTTTCTGTCATCAGAACTCTGGAAGGGCTCATTGCTCTTCACCAGTTCCATACCATCTCTCTGTCACCTGCTCTGACGTGTATCTGTGAAACCTGAGCCTTCCAGTTCACTCCAGCACATGTCACCAGCTGCCCTTCAGTGCCACTCACTTACCTCCTTGACCAGAAGCAGCCTTGGCTCCTCACCCTTCCTCATCCCCACACCCTCTCAGAGTCCCTTCAGATGTTCTCACTGCTCCTCCTGGCCAAGGTCACATAGTGGAAGCCACAAAGGCCTACATGGCTCGGTGACTTTGAGGAGCTAATGTGACCCCTGGCAGAAGTGTCTCCTCCTTCCACACTTTGACGAGCAGCTTGTCCAACCCAAGGAAAGACACCAGGAGGGCCCTCCAGAGGAGGGCCTTCTTTCCTGCTGCCATTATCCTACCTTCTGTCTTTTCCAACCCCTTGCTGGTTTTTTATTGCCGCAACATGCAATCACTATGGTTTCAGACATCAACAAAAGGCATAAATCCCAATTACCGTAGGAGGTTTCTAACTGGCTCCAAGATTCCTTTGCTACTATGGAGTCTAACGAGTCTTTTAAAAATTTCCTCTGCCTGTGCCACAAGTGACCAGAGACCAGCACAGTGGGAAGATCAGGAAGGGTCTCCACTGGGACTCTCTGGGGTCCTCCCCAGCACAGCTCGCACCTTCTTCTGCTCATTAACAAAACACAGTTCACTTGCACCAAACCTGATGGAGCTAAGCCGGCATTGTGCATCCTCAGCAACAGAACAAGCTGAAAAATTATTTGTGATTAACATTCCACTGAAATGAAGCCAATGTGGCTTTTACAAAGCCAGACCCATTGTTATTGGATAGCCTCTTCCCGGTTTGGTTAGTAACGAACTCCAAGTGGGTGTTTCAAGGCATGCAGTAAAACACTGATGGATCTACCCCAAACTGCTCACAGTATATTAAGTTTAGAAAGAAAATTTCAGAAGGATGTGCAGATATGACAGAATTTTAAAATTAACTACAAATATGATCAGAAAAATGTTTACAGTGGTTATGAGAGTCAGGATTATGAGTGGCTTTAATTTTTGTTTTTTTTTCTTTGTTTCTCAATTGTTTGCAATGATTGTATAACATCTTTCATCAGATTTTTAAAGCACTTTATTAAGGATAAAAACTATAATATAAATAATTGGGTGGTTCCATTCCAAGGAAGCTCGAGTTTCTAGAATATTCTGGTACTCTTTAGCAGAGAATTACAATATCGGGCAAGTCTTGTTAGCACTGTGAGCTTTATTTAGTCAACTGCTTAGTGAGAGGCACTTTCTTGTGCTAACGTTCTGGGGTCCACAGTTTGGAAAAGTTAAAGCTGTGAAGGAGGTAATCACTTCACAGGGCAGGTGCTAGACTTGGAGTCTGTCTATTTGCTCTGTGTCCATTCTGTGCATTGGACTTGTTGTTTGTTTGTTTGTTTGTTTTTAGAAAGATGAGAGGTTTGGGCTACACACCCTCATGATTCTTGTCCTCCACCTCTGACATGCTGTGGTCCTGGGGGTTGGGCTGTGGCTTGGAAATGACCTTGGAACAGTTCATGCCTTAAAGTGGCTGGGTCTATTAGTGGTTTGATCTCTTTTCATGCATGTCAGAGAATCAACAGAAGTCGCTGATGCTGCTGAAATCATGTCTTTAAACAATTCATGCTGTTTGTAACAATCTTTAAGCAGGGCAGAGACAAACACAAGTACATAACCGATTTGGAAAACTGCCTATCTTCAGTGAAGATTAGAGACTTTGAAGGCTATGAGTTTTGCAGCCTAAAGGTACTGCATAGTTTACTAAGTGGTTTGTTGACTATGTAACATAGCTTTTCCATTTTCTTGTGCTTTTTTGTTTCTTTGGGTCTTTATTTCATTTTATTTTTTTGTGGGTCTTTAAATTGTCCTGTTATTGCCTGCTTTATAATAACAGATACAAGGAAAGAACCCTGTCAGGGCTGGGCAGGACACAGAGCCCTGGGAAAAGCCACTTTATGTGAAGTGAGGTAATGGCTACAAGAATACTTTGTAGGCCATAAAACCCTATAGAAATGTTAACACTGTTGAGCAGCTCATAATGACATTTCTACCGGTAACAATCCGTATCTTTGGTGATCTCATAAAATGATATGGCCTAGTGACACTGTAACTACAATTTGGGTAAGAACCTGCTGTGATGGTCACACAACTATGAAATCTAAGACCACGTCCCCATTGTCAAGGGACAAATGAGAATATTCACCAGCCCTCAATTTCCTCATCTGAAAAGCAAGTCATTGTGGATAAAATCATTTCCAAGGGTCTCCTTAAGTTCCAACACTTGAGTCATCAGTAGTTAATTTCAACAAGCTTTTGACAGAGGAACTTGGAATCAGATTTTCCAGTTCTAAGTGCAAAGCTCCTTGAGCCCTAAGCTAGACTAGGACTAAGGAAGTAGTCAAGCATAACTCCACGTGACATCAGCTGGAATTTCTTTTCATTTTAAAGCCTCGTGCTTTGCTTTGGGAGGAACTGGCATTTCTGAGCCACGGGAGCTGTGGTTTGAGCGGCTGGGGGGAGGAGAGCTGCCCACAGGGAGCCCAGGATTCCTGCCAGGGTGCAAGCCAAAGCAAATAGTAGATGAGGGAGCCACTGAAGTAGAAATGTTCTGTTCTCTCTTTTCTCCTTGTGTGCAGGATAAGACCTGGAATGAAGTCATGGAAACACATCAGAAAGTCCCTACTGATCAATTAGACTTAAGAAAGCAGCAAGAGGCTGTGTGGGAACTTTTCACAAGTGAATGCACTTATTTCTTGGACCATTTATTAGTTCTTAAGATGGTAATGCTGGTTTTCATTTTTGTGCAACATGGAAAACAGTAATTTGGTTCTTTAGGGACTTCTTTTTCTCTTCCATGTCAAAAAAGAAAGGTTGGGGATTTTTTTCCCTCCTTTATGAGGATCTTGAAGACATTTTTGTTTTTTGTTGTTTATTTATCTACAACTTAGTTCTCTCTTCGTTCTTTTCTTAAACATATCTTGTCAGGATTGGATGAGACTTTCCAGGCTCACTGAATCCCTCTGCTTCCTGTCTTCTGTCTGACCCTCTTCTGCCTCCCTCTCACCTATATGTCCAAGCTCCTGCGTCGGGGCCCTCAAGCCACCCTCAAGGCAGCCCGGTCCCATCTTGGTCATTTCCCATGCTGGAGCTCTTGCTCCCTCACGAACAAAGCCAGGTAAAGGCTTAGCAAGTGCAGCCACAGATTTCTGGGGCTACCATGCATTCCTGATGCAGCACGGTCGGATTACACAGTAGTGTATTCATGATGTGCTCACATAAACGGGACTCTGCCGCCTTGATCCGGGAAGCTCAGGGCAAAGAAGTCCTTGTAGAATAACCACAGAGAAAACGAAGGAAGGCAGCAGCGTCCTTCTTAGACCGCAGGTGGCCATGTGGCTCCCAAGGTGTCCATAATATTTTTGTAGTGTTTTTAAATTTAAATTTTTATTAATACACGTTTGCAGTTTGCAATGATTATGTTCATCGTGGGGAGCTGGGATATGTACACAACACATCTTAATTCTTTTTTCATCCCTTTTCCCTTCTTCTATCTCCTGGTCCCCTTCCCGTTTGAGAAAGATCCATCTCCTTACTTCCTATAATTTATCTTTTACTTTGCTCTTTATTTATAATTTGGGTTTCTCGTGTATAAGAGACTGTGCTACATTTAAACTTAGGTGTCTGGTTTATTTCACTTAACATTGTGACCGCAAGTCCCATTTGAATCCAAAATGCTCACAGCTAACTCATGGTGGGGGAACACCTGAGTGTACGTCCTGCATCTGCCTCTGACCTGCATGTGACCTTCAGAAAGTCCAGTCCTCCGTACCCTAAATAGACCAGAGGCTGGCCAACATGTGCTGTGAGGGCCCACGTTTGAGTCCATTTTGTGTTGCAGTAAGCAAATACCACAGAATTTGGAAAGAAAAGAGATTTGTTTCATGGTTTTGAAGGCTAAGAAACGCAAGATGATGAGGACCTTCTGGCCACATCATAACACTGTGGAAGGCACCATACCCAAAAGGGGTTACAAAAAGGGTCCCGAGATACTCACCTGGCCTTTACAACCAGCCTCGTTTGGAGATAATGAACTTCGCCCACATTAATGCCATTAACCCGCTCGTGACCTCATTGCCTCCCAGTAGGCCCCACCCTTAACCTCTTTGGGGATTGAGTTCCTCACACATGCTTTTTGACAGGACACATTCAAACTACAGCGATGCAGATAGTAAATATTTTAGGCTCAGCAGACCATGTGATCTTTGCTGCAACTACTCAACTCTGCCATTACAGCACAAAAACAGCTGTAGATAACACGTGAAGGCCTGCACATGACTGTGTCACTGTGAAATGTAAGTTACAAAACGAGGTGGCAATGCAGATTTAGAGCCCCCAGGCTGTAGTCTGACAACCCCTGTACTGAACTGTAAAAAGGGAAGGACAATACCGTCTCCGGCCATCTTCTTGAATCATCGTAATGACCAAATGAACGATTTTTGCTCTCTGTCACATGCCATGCAAGTGCTCATTTCTGTTAGATTTATTGTCAGTTTACCTAGGTACTAGGTAACTTTCTTAGCAACATTTAAGTCACAGAGACAGCCTAGGAGAAAATTGAAAATCTACATCAGTTAGGATGCTTTTAAGAGCAAGTACCAGAAAACTAGCTTAAATAATCCAGGATTTTATGGACCTGTGTGACTACAAAGTTCAGGGATGGGGAGGACTCTTGTTGATTCCAACAAGGGGCTCAAAATCAAGGACAAAATTTCTTTCCACGTTTCATCCCTGCTTTGGAAGCATTTGCATCATCTTGTGACTGATTCTCTTACAAGCACCAGATGGCTGCCATCCTGGAGCTTAGGGGGAGAGAGAAAGAGAGAGGACGGGGAAAGAGCTCCTATGTAGCTGATGGCCCAGCTTCCTGCTGTGCCCGCCCCTGCACCAACTCCTCCAGCTGGCTGAGGAAGGAACAGCAGCTGGTGTAAGGCAGTCAAGGCACAGCCTGGAGCAAAAGGGGCCAAACTCTTGGGACAGACAGCCAGAGGAGGGGCAGATACTGAAGTGAAACTCAGGCTGCGGTTCGGGAAGGGGAGTACCGAAGCTGGTGTTCACCAGTTAATGACTCCCACAGAGCACTAACCTCTCAGCTATTTTGTGTCCCCCATCCCAACGAAGACCCACAGAACTTTCTGCCCCACTGTGAACAGCCCAGGCTTTTCTAACTAGCATTTTCTGTTTAAGAAAAGGCCAGGCTGAATTTATTTTCACTTGTGCCCATTGTATTTAAGTACATGTGCACTTTGCCTTACACAGTACAAGCCTCCCGAAGTTGCCCCTGAATTCAAAACTGGTAATTCACACAGCAGAGTAAATATATTTGTAGGTTCGGTAGTCTTTTTCAAACTTGGCAAAGAATTTCTGTACAGCTATCAATCTCGTAGCAAAAAGGATATTTATTTAAAATTGTCCCAGGTTGGCTGTTCTGATGAATTCTGATTTTCTTGACAATTAACTGTTCTAGATGCTTGGGTTGAAATGACAGATTTTCAGATGCCATGGATTTGGAAAGCTCTTTGTCAGTGCTTCTCAACATGTGGCTTTAGCCCAGCCACATTGTTTTTGTTTTGTTGTTGTTGTTGTTAGTTTTTGGGTACCGGGGATGGAACTTAGGACCTTGCGTTTGGGCAGTGGAACCAGTGAGCTAAATCCGTGGCCCTAGACCAGCTACTTTGAAGTCGCTTAGGAACTTGTTAGATGCCCAATCTTAGACCCCCTCACAGATGCAGGTAATCACAAACTCTGGGATTGGACCCAGCAAGCTGTGTTTTAACGAGGCCTCCAAAAGATATCGATCCATGTCCAAGAGCCATTCGCAGCACTAATTAAATAATGTAAGAGTGAGAGTTGGAGGCCAGCCATCTAATGTCCCACTAAAACTCTTGAAATAGTTTGTGTTTGTCCTCTCCAAGGCTTCCCATCTTATACAGTAATACCTCGGTTCATGAACACTTCTGTTCACATACAATTCGTTTCGCAGACAGAAGCTTTAGGCACAGTTTTGCATCTACTCTTGAACTACATATTGGGTGATGAACACTACCGTGGTGTCTTCTCCAGAATCGTGGAACAAATTACATCCACGAACCAAGCCTCCACTGTCTCTACAAAGTATTCGCTTTTCAATGATTTGTTCTCTCTTCCATTTATAGAAATGAGCAGCAAGTCATTTGTGTGAATTGCAGTTCTCTTTCTTGATTTGCTGCGTGCTTCTCCTGATGTATGAAAGCACTGAATCGAGGAATAATAACCAAGACCTCCTGAATGCGTTCATTAATATTTAACGCCTTTATCCAAATGGAAACACCCTATCGGTTATCAGATATTAACTCACTAACTCTCTGCTTTGTATTCCCTGAAAGTAAAGGCCATTTGGAGTTTTCCAGAGGAAGGAGTAAATGAGAACACTGCATGAGGATGTTTTTGTTCTCAAGTTGAGGCTGTTGGTGAGAAGAGAACCTCTGGGATTTCCTCGGCAGCATGAGGCCAGAAAGCCCATTTGGACAGATTATGTTCAGCAGTTAAAAACACTGTTAGGACTCGCATAACGACACCTTTGTACTGAAGACCACATTTGCATTGTGTCCTATGAAGAAGCTCCTGTGTCATGATTTGTGTTGGGTACAATTCTTAAGCCTTGGGAACACTGATTGCTATGTAATTTTGTAAAGTTATATCCAGGAAATTTACGTTTAAAGTCTATGTTTAGATGATTAGTTTAGTTTAAGTGGATGTTTCATCACAGAGCATGCTTCCTAACTGAAAAACAAAAAGTAATGTGCATTTATTTTTTAAAGATCTTTGTGAATACACTAAAATATCTGCAGAATCATGAGTATCTTCTGGATGTGGATTTATGGAGACTTTTCGCAAACCTGGAGGAGTTAACCCAGGTAAGCCAATACAGGAAGGGGTCAGCAGTCGTGTTTTAAAGTTCACCAGAGGGTCCTGGGAATTGATGTGTGGGGCTACTATGACTGTATCCATACTGGAGTAGAGAATATGACTTAATCAATGTTGTGTTCCCGTGTCATCTTGTGTGAGGAATTCGGATCTATAAGGGGGGCATCTGAGCACCTGTTGGTATCTTCCCAGTAGATCATAGATATTAGCTAACCCTCATTTTTCATTTTTCCATGGCTATTTAAGAAAGATGTGCTCCACAGAACTTACTGTCTTTGTAAATGCTTCTTTGTAAATGAACAGCCTTTTTCCGTATATATTAGAAATAAGATATCTTTCTTCTCAAAAGGAAGGAAGAGAGAGCTACTTTATTTAGTTATTAAAATCTTATAAGAAAATGTGCACTGGAGAGGGGGGGAAATCATCTTTGAATTTTGCTAGCAGATAATTTGAAATGGGAGAGACCTGTAAGACTGTCATTTGAGGGTCAGCAGATTTTCCTTCCTTGGCCCTGAGCGTGTGCCTATTCCTTTTCTCTTTCTGGTCCTAGACCAGCCTTGGCTTTGTGAACAGTCTTTTCAGCACCATCAAGGACTATGTAGCAGCGTCTGAGGCTTCGCCACTGATGGACTTCATTTCTGTGCTCAGAAAGGTAAAGTCCTTCTGGGGAGCTGTGCTCCAGGCAGGGAACTCACCCCCCTCCCAGGACAGTTGTGTACAGCTATGGGTTGTTGTTGTTCCCAGGAAATCCCTATCACCACCCTCCCACAAAGAAACCCTCCTCTTCTGAGCCAATCAATACTTTCAAAAATAACTGGCGGATTGAGTGTTCCCACTGTCACATCTCCCGCAGGTGTTACCAGCACAGAAATCTGCATGCGCCATTTCCAAGACGTGTTTTTCAAATGACTTCAACTGAAAGCCATATTTGTGGCATAGTTTAGCACTCATTAATAACATGGTTCGGTTATTCTTCTAAATAAAGCGTCAGTCTCTCCCAAAGGAGCAAAACACACTTTCAAATCCACCTGCGCCTTTGATGATGTTTCTGTTGAACAAGGAGAAAAGAGGAAAATCGAAGGCCCTGGTTTGATAAATGCTATTTTTCTCTGGAATAGATATTTGGACATCCCCCACTTTTTTATGTTAACTTTTTCATTCAATTCCTGTCTAGCCTCATTTAGCAAGAGTTGATTTTTATACTACATTAAAAAAAAAAAACTCGGTTGATATTTCTTGAGGGCTTACAATGGGAAAAATTAGACAAACCCCCACCGTTGAGGGATTTTCAACCCATTGGTGGGATTAGTACAACAACAAGACTGTGGATTATGTAATCAATTTGAGATAAATAGTGCTGAATAAAAAGAACATAGACACTCTAAGCATACAGCAAATGAGGCCTCCTAGGTTGGGTGGAAGGTGAGGAGGTTACTGGCAGGAAAAGTGTCCCGAGATAATCCAACTGCAAAGGACGGGTGAAAAATAAGGATGCACTTGGATACAGAGCAAGGAAGTCCCTCAGTAAACTTTACAAGCACTTTAAATGTTTAAAGCTAGCTGGGCGTGGTGGCACAGGCCTGTAATCCCAGCACTTGAGAGGCTGAGGCAGGAGGATCACTGTGAGTTCGAGACCAGCCTAGGCTACATAGTGAGTTGCAGGTCAGTCGCAACTACATAATGAGACCCTGTCTCAAAAAAACCAAAGTAATAATAATAATAATAATAATAATAATAATAATAATAATAATAAAATGT